CCCCTGTCGGCTCCTAACTCACTCCTGTGAAAGCCCATGCGAACCTGTTGGCAAGTTAAACAGACGGTGGTAAGAGGTGTTTTAATGAAACCCCTGCTCATTGCGTACATGTATTTTTATACTCCGCATTTTTTCTTTGTGGTTCACAGATGAAGACTTTTCCATACCGCATGGAAAGAGAGGTATTGTGGGTATGGCCAATAGGGGCCGGCATACAAATGGATCTCAATTCTTTATCACGTTACAGCCCGCTCCTTGGATGGACACGAAATATGTTGCTTTCGGGTAAGAAAAATAGAACCGAATCTCACAAAAGTAAGCTAAAGTAAACTTTTCAGAGTACGACTATGAATTGACCTACATGTGTAGGTTCAGTGTCTCAACTTAAGAGACGAAATCCTGAGTAAGTCTCAGTCCACTACGGCGGAGCTTATCCATAACGCGGCAAGGAGCATGGCTCCCCTTCTCAAGAATGATTTGACAAATGAAAACGTTACGTCCAGTGTAAGCACACCTATTGACCAAGGAGGGCGTGGGTGTACTATCTTAGATATTTCATGAACTGAACTCTGGAAAGCTGCATTAAACACTTTACTTTGGATGCCTTTTGACAGAAGTAAAATTTAAACAAACTGTTTGATATCTTCGAGGTAATTATGGTTTTATCAACTGAGTTGATAATGTAAGTTGTGTATTAAACTAAGTTTCCAAGCTTTGAAACTCTTTACGGTGACCAATTTACATTATCAACAACACAGTTGATTAAACTGTAATTACCCTATTATACTACCCCACGGACGCAGCACCACACTTTCTTTAGAAACTTACCCCCTGAAATCATTTGTTAGATATTTTCCTTAGGTATTAACTTTGTTGGTAGAACTAACCTTTGGTCGCCCTTATTTGTAGTCAAGTAATAGAGGGTACAAGAGTCCTTGACGAACTGGAAAAACAAGAAACGTTCAATGAAAGGCCCAAGTCTACCTGCGTAATTGTCGATTGTGGAATATTCGATGTGGAAAGCCTTTGGAACACCTCCAGATAAATACACTTACTTTGAAATCAAAGCAATCCTTAATTCACCTTGAATCACTTACAGATGCTAGAAAAAGGCCTTCGAACAGACTACGTAGCTACATTAATTAAAAGGTTTTTAGCGACACAAAATTTCTCAGAGAGATATTCTTTTGAAAGTATTTAGGAGTAAGTGATATTTAACTGTATTGAACTACGATTCTAGCTTTTTATGGAAACCTTGTTGAACAATTTGGAAGTGACTTGCATCAAGAGAATATTCGCTTGCCCGCACAGAATATTTTCCTTTTTTTATTGTTGTGTGTTTACCGAGAGATGTATATGAGCAAAATTGCGCCACCAGAAGTCGACTTAAAATAACCTACGTAGTCAACAAGTTACCATACCTCTCGCGGCAACAATCGATACTGATTATTTGTGTGCTTTATAAATTCATTTTTTGAAGCGAAATAAAGTTATTTAAAGATGATCGCGCTCACATAAAGCAAGCGATAGTCGAATTTCGAAAACTGGGCCTGATAAATTATTTTCTGATACTGGTACTTTCATTACCATTCATCTTTCCTTATTTTGTCAGTCTTTTTGAGAGAATAATTGCAAAGAGGAATGAAAAATGTCTTTCTTATTCGGATTGTATTATAGTAACATTTGTTATAACCTGAATATATGATTTTAATTGATGCATAAATTTGTTTTGAAAGATTTCGAATAAAGATTACACTTGGACAGAAATGTGTATGAGCGGGTGTCTTTAAAAATGGAACGAGAGGAGAGAGGTAAAAGCTATTTTTGAACCGTTTTTCATCCAACTTGTCACCAATTATGCAAACATTTTGGAAGAGGAGAGTCAATTTACCAGAGGAAAGAATGCGAATCTCGCAGCACCGACTTGACGCACTGACACGGCTGCCCTTTTTATTCTGTTAGTGATCGATATTTCCGCTCGCATCTCTGTGGGCTGAAAGGACGTGGCACAGGCTCACAACATAGACACAGTGCGTTTTTAAGGGGCAGGTCATTAGGAAAATCGAGGGTGGGGCAGGGGAAAGGGAAACTAAGATTCTCCTTGCAGAAGGATCACACTAGGCAAGCTGGCGATGGACGCGAAAGACATTTGACCGCTGAATCTCGATTTAGCGCCTCTCGAAGAACTTGGAAAGGTTTTAAGATTGTCTTGTCTCATGTCCGCCCAGACTCGCCCAACACCCGCTTTGCATTGAGGAAGTAAGCCAACACAAATAATTTGCGAATTCTACAGGTATGAAGACATTTACTTCAAGTAGCATGTAAGGCCGGACTTGGAAAAAAAAATGCCAAATCTGACCGACGTCTGTGCTGGTTAGGGTTTCCGTAGTTTCGACCCTCAAGCATGTCAAGCACAGAATTGTCTGATTTTAACAGTTCCACTGAAAATAATATCCTCAAATCTTAAAGATGGCGTCCGCGCAAGATTTAAACGAAACTTAACATCTCCCTTTGTTATGGTAGACATTTAGACTTAACCCTCCCATCCCATGCAGCAAAATTAGAGGATACTGGATTCTCACGCGCTCCTTGGCCTAATCTTTAGTAACCATGGTAACACTTGTGTTAACAATGTCTGTTTCAGATGAAAAGATAATTGGTAAGTTTCTAGAAAGCTCTTTGACTCAATAAGAATAGCGCTTGAGCGAAGTTCTTTTCAAACTGAATTTTGGTTAATCTGCTAGAAAGCTCTTTGTTTCAATAAGAATAGCGCTTGAGTGAATTTCTTTTCAAACTGTACTTTGGTTTAATTTTTACATGTCAGCAAAACTCGTCCTCACGTACCACTAAACTTGTCTTAGACTTGTTAATGTACAGTATTTCAATATGTGGTAAGTAGTGTTCTATGATTATCGGTTAGGATAACTGTTCATCTTGATAAAATATTAAAAATATTACAATAAAGGTTCCGCCGTTTAATGAAACGAAGTTTCACGGTTTGGCGCATATTGCTTCAACCACTTAGAAAATAAATAGATAGGCGTCATACTTCAAAGGTCAACTAATTTTGAAATGAGACTTCTCGTTTCAACTGTTTGCGTTGCTGTTTACTGCAGTAACTCCAATCAGCTATTCTTTAATCAGGTCCCGGTCTTTCGTGAAAGTTCTAACAAAGGTATTTATTTTACGGGTGATTGCCTTTACTTTGCCTCAACAATAGAAAAACTCTCAATGAACTTATTTCTTTGGCATTCAGAAGTTTGTCGATCTTTCTACACAGCTGGAGTACACCAAAGAATCCGCGTTTAAACTAGTTCAATCGATCGATTTTAACTCGAGATCAACACATCGAGATGGATAACGGATCACAAACGACACCCGGGTTTTATCTTCTGGTAAGAGTAAGTAAATTAACCTTTGATGGTCAATTATACACTGATCATGCACAGGCTATCAGTTAAATACGACTCAAACCTTTCACTCTAGTAATTCGCAGAGCCAAAGGTGGGTCTAAAAGAGTGTATAGCTAGATATTTCAGAGCTTAATGTAATTTTTACTGTTCAATCAAATTTATCCTTTCGTGTTTTACGTTGATTGTTCAAGAACAACAACAACAAAAAGCTTCGAGACAAGTGGAAACGCACATTTATCGTGCTCTTGTCCAAACGTGTCGATTAAAAAAAACCGTTTCAAGTTTGTCCGTTGCATAAATCCTTGACTCCTCTGAGTGACAATGGATCGCAATTAACACGCGGTTTAATTTTTTTCCTTACTCACTCTGAGCCCATGCAAGTTCGAAAAGTATCGAAGTGAAATGGGATCACTGATAGCAAAACATCCTAGAGATAAAATTAATTTAGGCATAAACTGTTCAAGCAGTCTCTACAGTTGTCTCTAAATTGGTGTGTTATGACAGTTGACGCAACCAGCCAAGACCTTGTGGGAAATTTCTCTACACGGCGCGCTGTATTGTGTTTGTGCACGCATAGTCCAAGATGACGTCAATATCGGCAATCTCTGAACTACAACATTATGACCGTGCCAATAGTCTAAACAATTTGGTATTAAGCGCAAAATAACAATTATTGTAATCACTTCAAGTCAATATCACCAGTCTTTTCTAGATACAGCGTGAGTGATCTTGAATGAATTCGGTGTAAAATTTTTATCGAGATTATTGAAGGAGGCATAACCACTCTTACTGATCGCGAAAATCCTAGAAATCGCCGACCAGAGAAGGTTGCCATGGATATCTGATACGAATGTACGGCCTTGTGGGAAGATCTTTAAAAGCTAAACTTACATGGGAAAGTTTGAGAAATCAATGGTAGAAATTGTTCATGACACTGCCTATAGATACTTGTGTAAGCTGCAACTTTAAGCCATCGATGTTGGCGTACTTTTGCAGAGAAACGGCTCACGGCCACAATCTAATTCGAATCATGGGAAAGTTGAGGAGAAAAATGAATTTTTACCACGAGGGTGGGCTAACGATCACAAGGTTCTCATTTCTGTCCCTTTTGCAGTTAACCATCTTTTTGAGAGACAAATGTGTGCAATCATCTGTTCATTTCAAGGAGTGCTATGTACGTAATTCATGAATGCATGCCATGCAGTCTGCAGCGCAGCAAGGATTTCACCGCAGATACTTATTCCTTTGCAGGCTGCTGAGGATGAATCTTCTGTTGCGGCTTGTCCATTGACTCACCAGGTGCGGATGATTTGCAAGCTAAAGAACATCGACCCATTAATCATGCCCTTCAACATCCAAAAGAAGTCCAAGGAATTTCTTGAGGTCAATTCTACTGGGAAGGTCCCTGTTCTTGTTCATCAGCTTAATCCAGACGAAGCTTTGGTTCTTGATGATCCTCTCCTCATCGCCAAGTACCTGGAGGAAAGATTCCCAAATCCATCAATCAGAAGCAATAGTAAAGAGGCTATTGTCGCTGGTAGCAACATCTTCCAAAAATTTTGCGCCCTCATAAAAAATAATGACCCCGCAAAGGATCCCGGTCTTCAAACAGCTCTGCTGAAGAAATTGGAGGAGTTGAATTCATTTTTGCTGAGTAGTGATGGTTCCTTTATGGAAGGTGATTCTTTGAGATTCTCCGACTGTAGTCTGTTACCTAAGCTCCTCCTCGTTCGCGTGGCTGCTAAAGAATTGAAGGGTCTGGAGATACCCGCGAGGCTCGAAGGAGTCTGGGACTATATTCACGCAGGCGAAAAACATGTTGTGTTCCGAGACACGTGCCCGTCAGATGAGCTCATCAAAGAGCATTGGTCCAGGAAGTTTGCATCTGTGCCTTTGTTGGAGGGTTACGAAAGAAAGCTTTAGAGGAACCAATGCTCTTTGTTTGTTAATCATGTTAGCGACTGGATAAAAAAAGCTAAGGATAGAAAAAAGAAAAAAAGATAATGCTCAAGAAGAAGTACCGAGTAGCGTCTTGACTTGATACCCGAGCAATAAATTAGACATCTTTATCTTTATGGCTTGCTCATTCGTTTCCAAGCTTCCTCTCTAGCTATCTTAAGGAAAGAAATTACTAAGGACAAAGTTATAAATTACAGCATCGTGGGCTTATTGTGAACTATTATAGATTCCCTTCGAATCATTCTTTTGGCACTAGGTCTGCGCTGATCGAAATAAAAAAACTACTTTAGGAAAATGATAATTGGCTTCATAGGCTTAAAAATACCCCACATATGCATTGCTCCATCACTTCTTTAAGAAAACTCGATATCGTGTTTAAGCAGATCAAAAAAATTTGTTTTTTTTATTGAAATTTCAAAGCGTTTGTGATATCACCCGCTATTTTTGTACCATTAGCCTCGCGTAACAGTCGCTCAAGTAATTATACAAATATGATTATAAGTGCGAGCTGTACATATGGGCGTGTCCATCATCCTTGGCACCACTACATTACTTTGTCGATCTATCGTTGGTTTTTAGAGACCCGAAGGGCGAGGATGATTGTAATTACCTCTCCAGTTATCGAGGTACACAAATTTGCATTTTCGTAATACATGTCTTGAAATAAATCGGTTTCAAAATAGGTTTTTCTACAATTATTTAGTCGTCGTTGTCCTTTCTATTAAACAAAATAAAAAAAAATATATCAATAGCTTATGGGCCGATTTTCTGGTTTTCTCATTAGCAGTCACCAACACTATCGCATTTGAGAAGGGACTTCAACGTAGCTTTATTCCATCTATGCTTTTTAGACAATCTTAGTGTACATTACCTCCATTTTAATTTATTAGGATACCGTTATATATGAACTTTTTTTAATTTTATTTATTATCTACTATTATTTAGTATGTTTGTAAATCAGTCGTTTTTCAATACTTGTATTGCCAGAACTGATAATATTGAACAAACCTATTACCTATTATATATGTCTCGCTCTCTACCAGCCCCCTCTCGATCTCAACATTGGTGCCTTCCTTAGTGTGTTGTGGTCTGTCATGTATTCTGATAACGTGGCCACAATTGAATAGGCAACTTTATTATTGGTGTTATTTCAATGCTGTTTTGCATGTGAGAGTTACTTCACTGCTGACACGTTCACCATAGTATGAAGATTTTTTTCGTTTGTTTCCGTAGTGACTTGGCCGTCGGCGTCGAACATGGTACAGAACAGCGCATCTTTGCAGTATCAATGAAAGGAAATTAATTCAGAACTAAAAATGACCAACATAAACTGCAGCTTGAAATGACTTAAGATTCAGTTCCTTAGAAACATGGACAGTAACGATTCTTTTTAATTTTTCGTGAAAAATAATAAAATAATTAACGACTATTCACCGAAGTGTAGGCTGTTAGTGGTGGATATTTACCGATAAATATCCACCGCTAACCACCGAAACTGAGGTGAATAGTTGTTTTAGTATATACTAAAACAGTGAGATAATATACACCATCAAAAATTAATTTGAGTGATTTCTTCGCTTGTGATGGATGCAAACTTGGACGCCATTTTTTCCAGAGTTGCTCGGAGGTAAACAGCAAAGGATATTCAGAGTTTGACTAGCCAATTAGAGCACGCCTTCAACGCTATCCACAGTTTTAGTATTTACTGATAAGATTTATCAGACCTTCAGAAGCCATATCGGAATCAGAAAGAGCTCTAGGATTTTTCGTTCTTTGAGTCCTAGGCATTTGGAAACGAGCATGGCTCTTGCGACGAGGATTGTGTTATTAAGTGATGAAGTTTCCAGAAAAGTTCTTCCGATTCTCTTCTATGATAACGCTTCAAAGTTCATTTTCGTGTGGGTCATCGGTTATGAAAGTTTCGTTGTGAGAATCGTTACCATTTTGGAATTGTCCTTTTGGTTAGTGGGGTTGTTAAAATTTCGATTCGACAAGCTTGAAATTTAGCTCAAGAGAAACGAAAACTATAAGAAATACAAAGAGAAATCCTGCTGCCTTGCTAGCTTGATTTAGCCCCTTGGGGCTAAATCCAACATACTTCAAGTCTGCCATATTATAAATTAGAATCCCCACATACTCCTCCCTGAAATATATATATATATGGGAAGGCGCGGTAGGCCTGGGTATATCAATGGGTGCGCCCTGAAATCAAATAGTTGTTACTGTTCTCATCGGTGGAGCCGATTAGTCGTGTCGTTCGTTAGAGTTTGTTCGCACTATTTTGCCGTTTGTTTTCCGAAATGGCTGATCAGTCGGATCTAACGCTGTTTGTGAAGGTACTGTACATCTTCCAGAGTGTATATTTTGAGTTTTTTGAAGTAAGTGATGGCTAGTTCATTGATCATTTCGTTTGTTGTCCAACAGGCCTCGACCATCAATGATGCGGATTTCGGAGCGGACGTTTTTTCTCAGAGGTTCATGATGATGTTTGTCTTGAAAGATTTGCGGGTCAACATCAGCCTGGTGGATGCGATTAAGAGCAGAAGCATGAAAAAATTACCAGCTTTGAAGATATTAAACGACGACGACCTAATTGAGGATCCCAAGGATATCGAGAAGTGTATCGAAAAGATGACTGCAGACCATCCATTGCGAATTGAAAATGACGAAATTAACGAACTTGTATTTAAAGGTCCTGGTAGCGGAGTTTACCATAAGTTCAATCAACTGGCGAAGAACACAGACCCAAACACAGATGAAAGGCTTAAAGCGAATCTTAAGGAGGAACTTGCAGCGCTCGATGCGTTTCTTCGATCGGAGAAAATGCCCGGGAGATTTCTCGGTGGCCACAATTTATGTCTTCCCGACTGTATCTTGCTTCCCAAATTGTTGCACATCAAAGTGGTGGCCAAAGTCTTCAAAGATTTCGATATTCCCGAAGAATTAATAGGCATTCACAAGTACTTGGATGCAGCTAGTGGTAAAGACGGAGAAACTTCAGATATCAATGTCGAAGCGTTCACAAGAACCTCGCCATCAGAAGAAGTGATAGTGGATGCTTGGTCTCGATGGATGAAGGTTCCGAACCCTCTACAGAGGCGAAAGAAGCCTTGATGATCATCGATTTTTGCAGAGATAGCGGTTATAAATGTGGTCTTTATAGAACTGGGAATTAGGTCTGTATTAACTACAACTCGTGTGAATTTCTCCAGTTTTGTGAGGTAGTAGCTTTGTAAACGGCGTACAAAAGAACAGTGTGTGTACACGTGTTTTATTTTACGAGTTTGATATTTACATCCATATATTTGTGATTTGAATTCTAAGCTAATGCAGATGTAGCGCCCAGTAATTTCCCTCCCGCTGTCTATGTTAGATATATGCTTTGGGGAATGATTACATTTATTTTATTTTTTCTATCGTCATATTCAATTCGTGAAGTTTTCAAATTCCTTTAAGATTGTAGCTTGCTTTCATTCGTGCGTTTGTGTAAGACACACATTTGTTGTTTGTACTGCTGTGTTCCGGTGAGCCTCCCGCTACAATTTTTATGCCACTTCGTCTCGGGCGATTTTCGATCGTGAACGGACAATGATGGTATCGCCCGGCTGTTTTTTATTCGTTGCTAAGGCAAAATCCTTCTGGAACGAGGTTAGACGCGTTATGTAGCCCTTCGCATTCGAAATACGCGTATTGAAGTAAGCTAATTGTTGATTTTACTGATTTACCTTTAATTAAGGCACCTAAATTATTGCTTCAACGCCAGCAATTTCTACTATCACTCCCTCGGAAGGATTAGGCATGATCAGAATTCTTCAGGTTAGGCGTCATGGCTTTATTATTATTGTTTTTTTTCCGATTTTGCAACATGATCTTGCTCATATCGTTGAATGTTGTCATGTCACGGTAGGCGAGCAGGGTGTCGCTAAAATTGATTGCGATGTTGAAGTCTTCGTAGTTGTCAGATTGTCTTTATGATTTCCCTGTAGACAAAATGTGGCAAGCGAAACCTGCTGCAAGGGTGAAAATTGTGACAGAAGAATACCGATGTGGTGGCTCACCAATTATTGTTTTCGTTTTTGTCAGGGCTTCAGCTATAGTTCTAAGTTACCTTGAGTGTGAATTAAGACAAAGATGGGTTAGCTTAACGTCAATACCTTTTTTGCTGATATAATGAGGGGAATTTGTTAACAGCCTAAAGGCACTCGCTATCTGTTGGCTCCCAGTGGGAAAGGCAGCCAGTTTTCATATTAGAATCTGGTTGCCACAGTTTCATGACCTAACAGATTGGAATGTCACCAAGGGTTTGCATAGAACTTGTAATTGTCTGCCTTGTCATGCTTTCATTCCATGTGACATTTATCTCTGTTTACATAAGCACAGGAACAAAAGAACTTGTATTTTCAAAACCCAGGGTGGGAGCACAATAGAGAAAAAATTTTCCTGTGACAGTAAACTGCTTTGTGATGTTCTTAATCATATTATATATTTACCTTATAAAATCAAAAAGTTTTGATTCCAGGAGACATTAGATAGGATAGACCAGAAGACTAAGATATTGATTTCAAATGAAATTTTTGAGAATATTTTATAACTCATTCCCAAAAACTGTGGACCAAGAATGATTAATAATGTAATAAAATAAATCTTGCTCTGATCCTGTAACAGATATCTTTCCAATACATGTGCACTATTGCCTAAGAGTGAAGTCAAGGTACCAGTAGTAAAATATAGTTTTCTTGTGTTTTTTTTTTTTATGAAGTTAGCCAAAGGTGCAGTGCTTAAAAGTACAGAGAAAAGCCATCAAAGGCCCTGTTAAGACTACACCAAGAAATTCAAGAAAACTGAAAATATTTTAATCAATTTTTTTTTGTTTTTGTCAAAGTGTTTGGACTTGAGACGTGCAAACTATCTGTGTAACCACAAATGTCCATCAATTGATGTTGTTTTCACCTAAAAGTCAATGGACATTTCCTCGACCTGTAGAATCTGGGATGTTGTTACCACCCGCAATGGACATTTCCTTGACCTGTTGAATCTATTTTGAAATCCTCATGCACCAGCGTAACTAGTGCAGGATCACTGCCCCTGTCTTACCATTCTCTTCATAGATCTATCTCTAATGGGGTCATGTATATGTAATGGTACCACTTTGCTTGGTATAAATTACAAAATATGATGACCTGTTTAAGGGTATCTGTCAAGGAACAATAGATTTTGTTTTTTTTACTTATTTACTCAACTTTAATTATACAGATACTAACAATATACAAATTGAAGATAAATTAACAACTAAAAAAAAATATTCACAAGATGTGAATAATGAGGTCAGTTTATACAGAATTCGAAGATTCCTTATAAAAATAAACTGCCTCAATTAAAAGTAAAAAAAATATTACATATAATATATTGCATGGTAGCTCAAATAGGCACCCAACAAAAAAACTGTAGGCCTCTAAAGTTAGTTGACTGCTTCTTCGAAGTTTGGTGGTACTTGTGAAAATTTGGGTGAGTTAATAAAATTGTTTGCACCAAATCTGGTTTGACATTGAAAGATTTTTTTACAAAACAAACCAAAATTTGCATAGTGCAAACAGAGCCTTAGCGATAAAATCCTGGTCAATTGAAAAATTAACAATATGGCTGAAAGATTGTACCAAAGAATGAGAAGATAGGTTAAAAGAATTGATGTAGTTGTGTTTCTTTGCAAAAAGGATTTTTCTTGTGGTAGATAAAAGCAGACAATCTGAAATGGGAAAGATGAGCCTATTTTCCCAGCTTTGGTAGGCAATGAGAGCACAGGATTTGTTTGTTTTGCTACTTATTTGGTGAACCAGCGATAAATAAAGAAGGCATGATGAGAACCTCTGTAGGGTTTTGGCTTCATAACAACCAACTGAAGTTTGCCTGCTATCTTCACCCCCTCTGGAGTCTGGAAATAAGTGTTTAGATCAACTTACTCGAGGTGTTGGCCCTGGAAGATGCACTCTGCACTGCAACTGTAATTGATGATTTAAACTCAAGATCCTGAGAAATCAGTCTTAGGGTGTTTTAAGAAAAACTGTTGTAGCAGGAAAATTGTGCAAAATAACAAGAAAATATTCTCTAGGTTTGATTCAATAATAGTTCTGAATTGAGCTGAAGAATTCTGCTTTGCAGCCAAGCAAATATCTGGTTGGTGATACTTACTAAAACCCCAGGATCATACACTACTTGTTTTGTGGCATAGCCTCTGAAGGCCAAGGATGGTGTTTCTTGAAAAGTTCCTGTAAAGCCTCTTTTTCAAAATCCCAGGCTAAGGAGTATTATTATAAATCTATTTGAGTGCCATAAAGAATGTTGCAATCTGATTGGCTGCCCTTTTTGCTGCCTATTCTGTTATTAAAAATGAGTGGAGGAAGTGGCTTTGCCATTTGCAGTATGAAACAAAACCATGAGCCAGTCTTCTATTTAAGGTTTGAACCTCTGATAGATTTATTCTTAAAAATTAGATGATAGCTTTCAATTTCTGTGTGTGATAGCTATTTCAGGCTTCAAACTCGTCAAATATCGTAAGACAAAAAATCTCAAGCCCTTAGTCAAATTGGTAAGTAGAGCAGGTCAGCTTAAAAACCAATAAATTCTGTTGTATTTCTTTATATCCTCAATTTTGGAATTTGAAAGCTATTGATATCTTGATATTGAAAGTAGGCATGGAGAACCAAACCTCGGGTTTTTTGGGACTGATAATTACTTGGACTTTCAAGGAACAGGATCCAGATATGGAAATGTGCCCTTGGGAAGACAAACCCACCCTGTGGGGGGACATCCTTTAAAATAAGAGAACAGGATGTTGTAGGTACCAAGAGTCCAATATAAAAGGATATCTTGGTGCAAGTATTGTTTAGGTGAAAAGCTTCTCATACTAAATGATTAAATATCAAGCTGTACTTGCTAGCTATAACAGGCAAGATGACGCAAATCCTGCATTAACTCTGACTGTACAGTACAATACAATACAATATTATTTATCAAAGTTGACGTAATTAACCCAATGAGTTATCTAACTTACGGCCCTCACAACAAACCCACCATCCCACCCCAGGGGAGGACATCCATCACACAGTAATCTCGTGTGTGGGAAATTAACGTCTCGTAAACCCAACCCTGCAAGAGACAGGACCTCCATTTATCCGAGAAGACTAGAATATCTAACCATTTCTTGATGTTATAGAAAGGTAGTAAATTCTTCTCAATTATTTTAAGACCTTGAGTGTTGGTCCGGGGCTCGAACCCTAGACCTCCCGTACAACAGTCCAGTGCACTATCTATTGGGCTAACTGGGTGGTGGGCTAACTGGGTGGCGGGCTGAATGGGTTCATATGTATTTTGTCTTTTGAGATTGCCTGCTTAATTTTGTTCCTTAAAAAACATAAAAACTTAATTAAAAGTGAGAATGAAAAAAAGTATTGCTTGGGGTGGCTGGCTATGGTCATGAAGACTCTTGAGTGATCAAGCTTCTTCGGCCAAAATGGATACTTTAGTTTAATAGTTTAATAGTTTGAAAACAAATATTACATCGCAGCGAAGGGGCTGAATTGCATAACATTTTACAATGATATACTACTATGTTATAATAGACACATACAGGAGTATGATACATACAGGAATGTAATTTAAATAATTACAATTGTATCAGAAACTATAAAAAGATAAAATATCACTAGGATTGAGTAATACTAGGCAGGCTTAATCGATCAAATATTCACACAATGCTGTTTGCTAGTCGGCACATGCTCAGGATGAAAGACCGCTGAAAACGCTTGGTGCGCACGCTCAGGAGGTCGTACTTTCTAATTCTCCTTGGGTTATAATGGTTTACGTGGTTGGTAGGAAATAAGTGAGATAGTTTGTGGTCATTAGAGATTCCATCAAACAGTATAGAACACTGTTCCTCGCGCCGAGACTGCAAAGTGTCTAAATTATAGTTACTCAACAGGTGTGGATCTAGGGGGAGGGTGCAGGGGGTGCGCACCCCCCTGAGATGATTGAAAGAAATCTCAATTAAGATAAAAGGGTTTCTTTTACATCAGCTTAACAGCGCTGAATCATTATATTATTTTAATGATCTTGTCATTGTTCATTCTGACATAATGTAAACATTAGCCGGTATATTTTCAGTAGTCTTTCCTGCTAATCCAGGTGCTCATTAAAATGTTTGCATTTAATAATTTCCCATATAAGTATCATTTTAACAAACGAATGAACGGTACTATAACTAAGTATATTACGTAGGGCAGTTGCTGCAGGTTCTTTTTCACTTCAATTATTAAAATAATATTAATATTAATCTTTAGTGGTACACCCCTTCCTCAAAAAAATCCTCGATCTGCCCCTGCTCAAGCATAGACAAGGAACAATCTGGTAAGATGATACTTAACTCCCTTTTCTGTAGTCGTTCGATATCATTACTTAAGTAGTCGGGCAATGCATGGTGAAAAACGGGCGAACAATATTCCAGGACAGGTCTAATTAGTTGGCTTGACTTCGCGAGCGAAGATTAAAAAGGTTGTGTATGTTGACATCGGTTGCTGGCACGCTCGTGGCTGACCAGACAGATGCGGGAAAGGCAGATCCGCGGGCAGTATCTGCAGAGAAAGGTGGTGTCAGGAGTGAAGGTGGAGGCGGCGCGGGCTTTCCTCCTCCTACGCTTGTTTTTAAGTACCTCACGTCTATTCTTCTCAAATTGAGCAGTGGCTTGGTTGATTGTGTGGCGCCAGGTACCACGGTCTGTGGCCAGGTCAGACCATCTCTTAGGTGAGCAGCCTTCCATGGCTGACGAGCCCCACCCGCCAGGAGCAAGCCTGGTTATACTGCGCCAGGCACCCGCAGTCGTCCTCTCCTTTTAGTTGCAAATCCAGGGGGCACCACGAGGAGGTTGGAGTAGGACTCGAGGTCTGCGCCACTCAGAGGATGTTTTAGGCCCAGCCATGGTGCTCACCCATAACCACCGTCATCCAGTGACTATGTGGACCTCCATATTATATCACAAGGGTCCACTCCCGCTCTCCTAAGGAGATATAATCTCATATTGACTTTCTTGATAGCCTCAGATATATGATCATTCCACGTAAGATGATAGTTTAGAGAGAGTCACACCTAATATCTTTGCGGAGCTAACAACAGAGAGATCCTTCCCATTAATGGTTACAGGCTCGAAAGCATGCTTGTTCTTCTTAAAGTCGATGTTGATGACTTTACATTTATCGGCATTTAGGGTCATTCGTTGATCGCGCGACCAGGTTTCAACGGCGTGAACAGCACTTCGGATGTTGCTCGACTCTCCTCGTGGCACGATCTCGGCTACAGTAGTGTCATCCACATTATTCCAGGAATGGAATCCACGGACCCTCAGGTCATTTATCATTAGGATAAATAACCAAGGGCCCAGTTTAGCACCCTGCGGGACGCCAGCAGGGACCGGGCCCCATTCCGAGAAACAGTCCCTGGACGGCTTGACACGTTGCTGGCGATCTGTAAGAAAGTCAGCAACCCAGCAGGCGACACTTCTTGGAATGAATAGACTTTAGACCTTACGCACGAGTAGGGTATGGTCAATAAAGCCGAACGCCTTTCTATAAGCAAATAGGACAACTCGTACGGCGGCTCCACTACCGTCAGTGGGATTGGACCAGTTGTGCACCATGGACATTAGGGCATGAAGGGTGAATGGACGATTTTGGAATTCCTCCGTACTGGTCGGGGTCAATAACCTCCATCACAGCAGGGTCAATATGAAGACTCAACCAAGAAATCTACTGCAATTTTAGACAGCGCCGGAGTCAGGGAGATAAGGCGAAGATGTTTACTAATATCCTCAACAGGTTTTACAACATCATTTAATTGGCCATCTTCCATGCTGGCGGGAGTCTGTTCTCAGCATAACTGCAGTAGGCTTTGACCTCCTTCTTTTTCTCTGTTTTGTTTACTTCTCAGAACTTAATCAAAGCTGATACAAAGTAAAGACATGTGTATAACCCTTTTTCCAAATACAATCAGACCCAAGGCAAGCACAGTCTGGCTCTACGGCACTGACCCCACATAGCCCTTTTATGCCCTAGTTCATAGACGACTGTCCGCTTTCCTATCCACTCCTTTGAAATTCTTCGATGCTAAGAAGGGATAACTATTATTAATAATCTTTAAATAGATTTATAAAAATTCATTGATGGTGCAGTGAATAGCAGTTTCTACTTAGGTTTTAGTCGTCAAATAAAAACTCTTACCTGTCTGGGGGCATATTAACCCAAACGCGATTTTTGGAGAAAGTAGAAAAGTTTGTGATTTCCTTGCATCCGAAGTGGCATGGATTATTACCTTAGTAAACCATTAGAAAGCATAAGGTCAGCCCACCGCTTCGATCACTGGTACAAAAGAAGTTTGGTTTGTGACTCATCATCTCATCAGTCAATTTCCTAAACATATGACATAATGCATAGATTTAGCCAAGCCTAAAAGCGGAGCTCCCAAGTTCGTAATATTAATAATAACATAAAAGATGTGCATTTGCCAAGACTCGCTCGAGACACCCCTCCCTTCGTTTTGATAGTCTCCCCTACCCTACCCGTGCAATCTGAAGACACGTACGTACGCTCGGTCAGTCGCATGACAACCAAATGAAAAGAGGTTGACCATGTTCCATGGGTATGGGGCTCTGCCCCACGCGCTCAACCACCTCCCGGTTAGCTCAATTGATAGAGCGCTGGACTGATGTGAGGGAGGTCGAGGGTTCGAGTCCCGGCCGGACCAACACTCAAGGTCTTAAAATAATTGAGTAGAATATGCTGCCTTTCTATAACATCAAGAAATGGTTTAGATATTCTAGTCTTCTCGGATAGGGACGAATAAATGGAGGTCCCGTCTCCTGCAGGATTAGGG